ACAGAACTAGAACAAATTTTCCAAAAGTATATGGAACTGCAAAAGGTCCAGCAGAGCAACAGCAACCCTGAAAAAGAACAAAGTTGGAGGAATCACACAACCTAACATCAAACAATACTATAAGGTTATAGTAATCAAAACAGCCTGGTACTGACCTAAAAACAGACACATAGATAATGGAACAGAATATAAAGCCCAGAAATAAACCCACACCCTTATAGTCAATTAATATTTGACACAGGAAGCAAGCACATACAATGGGCTAAAGATAGTTTATTCAATAAATGGTGTTGGGAAAATTGGACAGATACATGCAGAAAAATGAAACTAGACCACCTTCTTACACCACACACAAGAATAAATTCCACTGCTGGGATTATATCCTAAGAACCCCGAAACACCAATCCAAAAGAATCTATGCACCCCAATGTTCATCGCAGCACAATTTACAATAGCCAACTGCTGGAAGCAAACTGGGTACCCATCAGTAAATGAATGGATCAAAAAACTATGGTACATTTACAAAATGGACTTATATGCAGCAGAAAGAAAGAAGATGCTCCTACCCTTTGCAACAGCATGGATGGAACTGGAAATCATTATGCTAAGTGAAATAAGCCAGGTGATGAAAGACAAATACCATATGATCTCACCTTTAATAGGAACCTAATCAACAAAACAAACAAACAAAAAAACAAAATATAACCAAAGACACTGAAATAGAGAACAGGCTGACAGTGACCAGAGGAGAGGGAGTTTCAGAGGAAAAGGGTAAAGGGTTTGCAGGAACAATTATAAAGGACACATGGACAATAATGGGGAGGGGTAGATATGGGAGGGAGATGGGGAGGTCTGGGGGTTTGGCCTGGGATGGGGATAAAAGGCAGAAAACTGTACTTGAACAACAATAAAAAATTAAAGGCAACTATTTAAATGCCAAAAAAAGAGAGAATAAATTCAAAATGGTCAAAGATTAAATATTAGACCTGAAACCATAAAAATTGTAGAAGAAAACATAGGCAGCAAAATCTTGGCTATTGCTAGTAGCAATATTTTATCAGATATATCTCCCCAGGCAAAAGAAACAAAAGAAAAAATAAATAAATGGGACTACAGAAAACTAAAAAGTTTTTTCACAGCAAAGGAAATCATCAACAGAAGAAAAAGCCACTTCCAGCCAAGATGGGGACATAGGTAGATAGACTGTGCCTCCTTGCACAACCAAAAGAAGGACAACAACAATTTAAAAACAAAACAACCAGAACTGACAGAAAATCGAACTGTATGAAAGTCTGACAATCAAGGAGTTAAAGAAGAAACATTCATCCAGACTGGTGATGTAGGAGGGGTGGAGTTGAGTAGCTGGGGCAGAGAGGACTTGCAGCAAGGTGGTGGCTGGTGGACTGGGGTGGGCAAGGTGGTGGTTGGTGGACTCAGCAAGGCAGTGGATTGCGGAACAGGGCACAGCATGCAACACCCACATTCATGCATAGATAAGCCAGGCAAAACTGGGGAGTGGGATGGACAGTACAATCTAGGGTCTCAATGCAGGGAAATAAAGCCTCAAACCATGATTTAAAACACCTGTGGGGGTTGAGACGGCAACGGGGGAAACTCGAAGCCTCACAGGAGAGTTCGTTGGTGAGACCCATAGGATCCTAGAATGTACACAAACACACCCACACGGGACGAAGCACCAGAAGGGCCCACTTTGCTTGTGGGAAGCAGAGGAAGTGACTGAAATCTGGCAGAGAGTGGAGCAAGTATCATTGTTCCCTCTCAGACCCCTCCCCCACATATAGCGTCATAACCCAGCAACATGGGTTACCCTGCCCTGGTGAATACCTAAGGTTCTGACCATAACTATGCAACAGGTGCATCAAGACAAAAAAAAATGACCCAAACAAAAGAACAGATCAAAGCTCCAGAAAAAATACAACTAAGCGACGAAGAGGTAGCCAACCTATCAGATGCACAGTTCAAAACACTGGTAATCAGGATGTTCACAGAATTGGTTGAATTCTGTCTCAAATTAGGTGAAAAAATGAAGGCTATGCTAAGTGAAATACAGGAAAATGTACAGGGAACCAACAGTGATGGGAAGGAAACTGGGACTCAAAACAATGGTGTGGACCAGAAGGAAGAAAGAAACATCCAATCAGAAAAGAATGAAGACACAGGAATTCAGAAAAATGAGGAGAGGCTTAGGAACCTCCAGGACATCTTTAAACATTCCAACATCCAAATTATAGGGGTACCAGAAGGAGAAGAGGAAGAGCAACAAATTGAAAACTTATTTGAACAAATAATGAAGGAGAACTTCCCCAATCTGGCAAAGGAAATAGACTTTCAGGAAGTCCAGGAAGCTCAGAGCGTCCCAAAGAAGTTGGACCCAAGGAGGAACACACCAAGGCACATCATAATTACATTACCCAAGATTAAAAATAAGGAGAGAATTCTAGAAGCAACAAGAGATAAGGAGACAGTCCCCTACAAAGGAGTCCCCATCAGACTGTCAGCTGATTTCTCAAAAGAGACCTTGCAGGCAAGAAGGGGCTGGAAAGAAGTATTCCAAGTTATGAAAGGCAAGGACCTACATCCAAGATTACTCTATCCAGCAAAGCTTTCATTTAGAATGGAAGGGCAGATAAAGTGCTTCCCAGATAAGGTCAAGTTAAAGGAATTCATCATCACCAAGCCCTTATTATATGAAATGTTAAAGGGATCTAAGAAAAAGAAGATAAAAAGTATGTACAGTAAAATGACAGCAAACTCACATTTATTAACAACCACACATAAAACAAAAACAAACTAAGCAAACAACTAGAACAGGAACAGAACCACAGAAATGGAGATCACACGGAGGTTTATCAACAGGGGAGTGGAAGGAGAGAGGGAGAAAAAGGTACAGAGAGTAAGTAGCATAGATGGTAGGTAGAAAATAGACGGGGAGGGTAAGAATAGTATGGGAAATGTAAAAGCCAAAGAACTTACATGTGTGACACATGGACATGAACTAAAGTGTGGGAATGTGGGTGGGAGAGGGTGTGCAGGGTAGAGGCAAGTGAAGGGGGAAAATGGGACAACTGTAATAACATAATCAATAAAATAGATTTAAAAAAGAAAAAGCCAACTCACTCTATCTTCTCTCATTCAAATATTTGCCAATATATCTGATAAGGTTTTAATATCCAAAATTTTAAAGACCTTACAAAGCACAACACCAAAAAGACCCCAAACAACTCAATTAAAATTTGGCAAAGGACTCAAATAAACACTTTTCCAAAGAGGACATACAGATGGCCAATAAACATATGAAAAGATGCTCAACATCACTAATTATCAGAGAAATGAAAATTAAAACCATAATGAGACATCATTTCACACCTGTGAGAATGGCTATCACCAATAAATCAACAAGCAAGAAGTGCTGGTGAGGATGTGGAGAAAGGGGAACCATTTTTGCACTATTGGTGGGAATGCAGATTGTTGCAGCCACTGTGGAAAGCAGTGTGGAGATACCTCAAAAAGTTATCAATGGATCTGCCTTTCCACCCAGTGATCTCACTCCTGAGAATGTGTCTGAAGAAACTCAAAACACTAATTCAAAAAAATAGCCAAGATATGGAAGTAGCCCAAGTGTCCATCAGTATATGAGTGGGCAAAACAACTATGGACCTTTACACAATGGAATTCTACTCAGCAATAGAAAAGAAAAAAAATTACCCTTTGCAACAGTATGGATGGACCTGGAGAACATGATGCTGAGTGAAATAAGCCAGTCAGAAGAAGACAAATACCATATGATTTCATTCATATATGGAATCTAATGAGAAAACAGAACTAACAAAAATGGGGACAGGCTCATAGATGGAGACCAGGATGACAGCTAAGGTTGTGAGAAGGTTAGGAGGTGGAAGAATTAAGCAAAAAGGACACAGGACTCATGGACTTGGACAACAAGTGTGGTGGTGGTTTGGGGAAGGGGTGTATAAGGGGACTAGATGGTAATGGGAAAATATAATAAAGATTAAATGAAAAGAAAGATTACCTAATCTTAAAATTTCCAGTTCCTCACTGCTAATTTATATCTAGGTCTTGATATTCATCTTGTTATGTTTTAGGAACTCTGAAAAGACACATGGGGAGGTGAGCCTCATAACAGGCTTGTGTTAGTTCAGCAGGTCTTAAAAGCAACTGAAGCCACAAGGTAATTTGTCTTCATTATTGATCAACAACTATTTCTGAGTAAGTTGAAAAGGTATAATCATTGCTCATTTATTTTGATGAAATGAAGAATTTTCTGAAGGTGAGGCATTAATGTGAAAATGAAAATGATCATCTTTTGTTTCTAGTACCTCCGTTTACTTGAAATGGGATGGAACAGAAATGTCTATGTGTTAATAAGAAGTAAATCAAGTTCAGACTCTGAAGAATTTATTATCCTGCAAACAAGAACTACAGTCTTCTAAAGTTCTCTCTTCTTTTTATGCAGGCTCACAGATTGGAATCATTTCAAGAACTGGAGAGTTAGTTTGTAATATGGTTTTGTTTTCCTTCCACCAGATGTGTAATGGGAGCAGCTTCTATATTATATTTTACCTTGATGAAAAATACAGAGCAATATCAGAGAATGGATATAGAGAATTTTTCAGGGCCGCAGGCTCATAATAGTTGATGACAAGGAATATCAGTGGAGAAAATGTGAGGTAATGGTACATGCCAGTGTTGTGAGTTGGAAGAGTAGTGTTAATAAGTAAACCAGGATTCAGAGGTGGCCACTAGGTTCTATTTATTAGTACAGGCAAGTAAACTCAGGCATTTGTCAAAAACAAGTTTTGAAGGGGGAGAAAGTCTTTCTGATTAATTCCTGAGTTACTTTTCCATTACTTCAGCATTCCCAGGGAATTCAACATGTAAAGTCCCATTGGTTAGTAATTATATTACATCCACTTTTCCCTTAGAAGTGCTTAATGACTCTTGCTTTGTATTCCTTGCAGGTGAAAGCCCAGCTTCTGTGGTTGTTAATGCCTCAGCAGGATTATTTTCACTAAAGATGGAAACACTGGAATCTGAATTGACCTGTCCAATCTGTCTAGAGTTGTTTGAAGACCCCCTTCTGCTCCCTTGTGCTCATAGCCTTTGCTTCAGCTGTGCCCATCGTATCTTGATCTCCAACTGCAGCTCTGGTGAACACATTGAACCCATTACTGCTTTCCAGTGTCCTACGTGCAGGTATGTTATCTCACTGAACCACCGGGGTCTGGATGGCCTCAAGAGGAATGTGACTCTGCAGAACATTATTGACCGCTTCCAGAAGGCTTCAGTCAGTGGGCCCAATTCCCCAAGTGAGAGCCGCCAGGAGAGGACTTACAGGCCCAGCACCACCATGTCTAGTGAGCGAATTACTTGCCAATTTTGTGAACAGGACCCACCAAGGGATGCAGTGAAAACATGTATCACCTGTGAAGTCTCCTACTGTGACCGTTGCCTGAGGGCCACACACCCCAACAAGAAACCTTTCACCAGCCACCGCCTGGTGGAACCAGTGCCAGATGCACATCTTCGAGGGATCACCTGCCTGGACCATGAGAATGAGAAAGTGAACATGTATTGTGTATCTGATGACCAATTGATCTGTGCCTTATGCAAACTGGTGGGGCGTCACCGAGACCATCAGGTTGCATCACTGAATGATAGATTTGAGAAACTCAAGGTAAGGGATCTGGGGAATGTCCCTTACACAACTTTGTCTCTTTATACAGTTATACAGTTAGCAAGTTCTCTGATAAAATGGGTCACTTTTTAAAGATTTTATTTATTTTTAGAGAGGGAAAGGAGAGAGAAAGGGAGGGAGACAAACATCAATGTGTGGTTGCCTCTCATGTGCCCCCCACTGGGTACCTGACCCGCAACCCAGGCATGTGCCCTAAACTGGGAATTGAATAGGTGTGGTTCCCTGTTTTTTTAACATGGCAAGTGAATTAACTCCACTTGTCATATAAGTCTTGTGAAGAATAACCTACTCACCTGCAAGCTCCCACTGGAACCTATTTCATCTATTGTATAAACCTGCTTGCATCTGACCAATTTTGGGGAAGTTAGCCCCTGGCCCACTACATCAGTAGTCCATTCAGGGAGGCAGCACCCTCTTTACTCTTTCAGTGATATATTGCACACTACATATCTTTGCCATGATCATTCCATTTGTTTTAAGTATGTGAGTACCTGTGTAGGTGTGCTACAATTAGCATTTGTGCAGATTTACATATTTATGTGTCTAGTCATGAGAATGTTGGGCGTATCTCTGTGTATGTGTGGGTGGAGGTGTCTGCATATATCTCTATAGGTGAGAGATTTTTATGGAGAGCAGTAGTATGTTTGCACATTCAGTAATCTAAAGAAAAAAAGTTTGGCACTGGCTACTACAAATTCCTATGAAGCCCTTAACATGGATGGGGCTAATTCTAAGCCTGCTTTAAAAAACAAAAGGAAACAAAATTAAAATTTAAAAAATCAAAACAGAACAAAGACAACAAAGGAACTTCAGTGTACCATGAAGTCAGGAGGAATGATCAAATACCTGAACTAAACATTTAAACTGAAGGCCATAAATATTTAATCCAGTATTAGATTTTGTGCCAGTGTTCATTTTTGTGGTTTATGGACTGAAGCACTTGTTTGCAGTCCCTGCCTTGGAAGTTCCTAGTCCTTCATTTGTGTTAAGTGGGCAGTTTTTTGAAGTTGTTGGGCCATATAATATTTATGTGCAATTCTGAGTGCCTATTAATAGAGCCCTGCTACTTCATGTTGATGGTAAAATGTCAGATCCAACAAATTGTTTTATTCCCATTGTCTGCCTGATATATGGTTTACCTTCCGTTAAAAAGGGAGCAACTTAGAAATTCCAGAAAAATAAAATGTGTAAATGAATAAGATTACCACTGCTAATAGGGCCTGAATATATAAGACAAGCTATAAGGAAGCTCTAGATAGGATGGAGGGAGGGCAAAAAGAGGATGGAGAGTTTCTTCTTGCCATACTCTGGAACAATCAATGTAACTTAGGTAAAATTTATGGTGTTGGTGAGGGCAGCAATACTCAGAATAGGATACATATTTTCTTCTGTAATTTGTGGCAAGCAGTATTGAGAATAGTCACACTGACAATGCTTTGTGCCTTTTTATTGTTATTTATATCTAATGTTTATAAATTTGTACAAAGTTCAGTGTTTTTGTTGATTTCATTCAAGGTAATATTCTCATTCATGTTAAGACTGCAGAGAAGAATAATCTTATTGACTTCCATTCTTAGAATCATAAGAAGTTAGGCCTTGATCTTGGTCTAGTTGAAGCCTTATTCTTTAAAGTGGTATTAACTGAAAGCTTGACAAATTGTTAAGCAATTTGGTCAAAGTCACAAAATTGAAACTGGAACTAGGCTTCTAGATTGTGAGTTAAGGATCCTTCTTACTGCATCCTGCTGCCACTTTATTTTAGACCTACGTTTTCCCCATGAAATGTGATTTGAAAGTAAACATTATCCTCCAGCAACTGCACATCTTATGGGTCACAGATAAATCATTAATGGCATCAATGAAAGGGCATATTATATAAACTTACAATTTCATAATGGCAATAGATGGGGGCAGGTTTGCAGGAAGAGTACGGATATAGAGAGGATGAAACAATCTCTGCCAAATATTTGCAGGTATTGGAACTATAGTCAGTCATTGGCCTTAAGAAGTACCCCAAAGAGAAAAATCTGTACCCATATGTACTATTGAGATAACAAAAGATTGGATAGAATAAGCCTGTTTCTACAGAACATCAGCTTTTTGAAAACATCCAAAAACATGAAAACAATGGATGATTGATTAGATATTTGGCATAGTGCAGCTATGGCTCTTGTCTTTAGGGATGGATGGAGCAGAAAAATATTTTACCAAAAGATACTTTAGTGTATAAGTAATCAAAAATATTTGGAGAAAGAAAGGCCAGATTTTGGATCGTTCCCCTTTAATTTTTTAAGGAAATGTGCAGAAAAATCTGATTATAAATTAAATGGGAACTTTTTTTGGTCATTTTTGGATGGAAAGTGGAAACATATGAACCATTCCAAACCTCATGGTTTGTTATATTGTCTGCAATATCTTGGACTTTGGGGAGGGAGAGGAATGTGTTGCTTGTGTGTGCATGGGGGTGGGTCACTTCAGTTTGATGCCAAGTGTGAAAGGATATTAATTCTCCACGTAAAGTAGAAAAATCTGACTTTCAGTGTCACATATACTCACTTTTTAAAAGGTTAATTTTAATTTAGAGAAGCATTTAGGATTATCCCCTTAATCTGCTTGATTCTTCACCAAGGAGAAAGAATGCTGGCTGTTAGAAGGTATGGGGGTTGGTGGGTGATGGCCTTGAGCATCCTCTTATGGCCCCAAGGAAAGCACAGTAGTTCTATAAAAGAAGGGGAAGAATGATAGGTTTGACTTTCTGGCCAGTAACTGATATGGTATTTATTTGTACTTTTTGGTTCTAGAGCTTCATTATTGGTACTTATAACTTTCCTTTGTACAAATGTCCCCCATTAGGATTAGTGGTCTACAATACTTATTAGTTAAATAAAGAATAAACTAACCATTATATAATAGATGCAAGGTCAGAATAACCAGAAGCTAGTCTGTCTTCTTAACATGTACTCAAAATGGATTAGAGGGTTTGGGATACTTAGCATAGTTTATTATCCTTATTTAGTTTTCTAGTCTACTTACATGTCTTCTGAAGACTACCAGTTGTTTAATTAATTCTTCAATTTGAGAATATAATTGTATTCATGACAGTTACTATAGTAGTAGACCTATCAAAGTAGTTATTTTCTCTATTACCTATCTTTTTACTTACTTACTAGTCCCAGTATATAAATTAGTTCATGATATGTGCTGTCTTTCTATAAACTGTTTCATTTTTTAGAATTTTCATTGTCACATAAGTTTCTTTCCTTAGAAAATATTGGCATTATTGTATTCATACATGTTGGCTTTTTAAAAAGATGGTGACAGATCTCAGACTCATATTCTAAGTCCTACACATCTTGGTCCTCATGCTGCCCTTCTCTTTTTCCCCCTACTATCTCAAACATGCTACCTTCATCTGTCCAGGGTAGCCTCCTAACTGTCTGCTAAACATACCATTCTCTTTTCCAACTCTGAACTTTCATTCTCACCAATGCTCTACTCTTGGCCTGCTTAGGAATTTGACTTATTCTTTAGTGCTCAGTTGAAACCCAAGAAGGCCACTACAACACATTCCAACTACACCATAAATCCTTGGAGGCCAGGCACAATGTCTTATATTTCTTCAGCATCCTCCTAGTGTCTAGCATACATAGTCTATATAGATTAAGAAATCCAAATGATTAAATATTTCTAATGGATTTGCAGGAAGTATAGCAGCATCTCTAGCTTGCTTTGGTGCTCATCCTATAGGATATAAATCTGTCTTGCCATGATGAATACTTTCAGAGTCTTAAAAAATATCTCCTTTGAACTACTGGTGTAAAAACCAGAGTGTTACTAAAAATATGACATGTCCTTAATTTTAAGTGCATATTCATTTTCATTGCTGGATTTTCCAACTGCCTAACCCTATGGTGACATCTGTATAAATCAGATATGATTATTGTAATTCTCTTTGAGAGTGATGTCTTCACATTTCCATGCCCACAGCCTGCCAAAAATATAGCTGATGAAAACCAGAGGGAATAGAGGAATTTCCTGAAAGGGATAGACAAGCACATATTCTTTTTCTCATTATATTTCCAGAAATTCATTACTACCAAAAATTCTTAAATGCAGTTACATTTACACATCAGGGATCTCATTGTTATAAAATATTACCTGGTGCTAGGATTAGCTTTTTGTTATGGGAAAGTAAAACATGAGCGTGCGCATGCACGCGCACACACACACACACACAAACACACACACAGGAGGAGAGACTGAGACAGAGCTAAAGATTGCCAGACAAAGAAGGAAGATATGAGACTTGAAGAATGTTCAGAGGAAAGCCACACTGAGATTTAAAAGGTTGGAAAATATGATATTCTGGAATCTTATCATAGCTGATTGCTTGTCCTTCTTACTCAGTCACTCTGTCATCTACCCACCCATTCTCACTCAGCTACTGCCTTCTCCCTGGCAATCATGTACTTACCCACTTGACACCCACTTCTGTTTGCTAACACAGATACCCTTTCAATTTACCAACCAATGAGCAATTGACTGGTTTTGAACCAGTATGAGTATGAATATAAGAGAAAGAAAGAGAAATACCTTTATGAGACTGACTTGAGAGAGGATATATTTGCATGTATATGTATGTGTCACTATATAGGAAGGTGTGTGTTTCTGCATGGATGAGTGGCTGAGAGTGACTCTGTGTGTGCCTATGTGTATCTATAAATGCGTATCAGTGTGCAGAGGAGGAGATAATGTCTGTGTTAATTTTCTGTGGGTATATCTGTAGATAAGTTGGATATGAGAGAACATTGAATGTAAGGCAAGTTTTCTGTGGCCACCCTAGGGAGGGTTAGGACCTCAGTAGAACCTATCATGATACTAAAGATCTCCCTAATAAAGGAACAAGTTCAGATATCTTCATGATAAGAAAAAATCTCCAGTGGAGACTCTGGCTGGTTATCATAGGTGGGGGAACAAAA